GCCTGGACCTCCTGAATCAGAATCCTTGGGAGTGGACCACCTATTAATTTTTTTGATGAGCTCCTGTAGTGATTCTCAGGTCATCTACCTGTTGTTTTGGAGCCATGGGTCCATGGGTAAAGGCAAGGTTTTGCATTCCGGGCATTTGCGGTGTACTCCAGCCTACATCACACTCCTGCTTCTCAGCCCTGCCTGCTCCGTGATGGCTCGTATGCTACCACGTGCCCTGACACCCTCTGGAGGCCGTGCTCCATGTTTTTCTTCTTTAACCAGTGTCCCCAGTTTCTGTCGCTAACCCTTCTAGTATCCACTCAGGTGGCAAATGCTACCTCTTTTCTGAATGTGATCCCTATTCTTCTGAAAAGATGGATCATTCTGTATTTTAAACTCCTCAAGGATGTATTCTCTTTGGACTTCTGGGGACTGGGGTCCTTTTCAAAGCCCCCCCCCCCCCCCCCCCGCTTTCACTGGGGATCCAGCTTTGGAAAAACAACGTTTTCCATGAGTTGTGTGCTAGACCTTTGCTCCAAACTTAGTAATGCAGATCTCTGCCCCAAATACAGTAATCCGAAAGAAAATGGGCGTTAGAGTCTATAAAAATTGCCTCCAGGTACAGATATTTAATGAAATATTTTTACGTTGTGCAACTTTAGCTTTTTGTTATTTTTTTCTATAGCATTGGAAGTAATGTGTATGCCTGCCATAGAAAACACAGAAAATACGGGAGGATATAAAGAAAAATAATCCCACACATCATCTTGCTGCAGCCACAGTTAGCACTGCAGCGTGTGCCCTCCTGGTCTGAGTTCAGGTCTGTACTGAGTGTCCGGCGTGGCAGCCTTGCGGCCCCCGAGCGTGTACTGTTCCAGCTCCTCTTTGGGCAGAAGCTTTTCTGGGAGCTTTTCTCAGTAAACCCTGAGTTCTCCTCTGCTTTGCTTCATCCACCAGTTGATCTGTGTTTTTACCAGGCATCCTCTTCGTATCAGCACTGGAGAGCTACTTATTGTCTAGAAAAGAATTTAAAATATGTCTTTCTAGCTTTTGAGAGTATGTTATCGGCACCTGGCACGGAGTTGAGGGACACCGTGAAGAGGAGTCTCCTCCTCACCCCAGCCTCACCCCCAGCTGCCTCTGCCTGACCTGTGGCCAAGCTGCGGTCATTTTCTTACAGTACTTGCACGTTCATTCTGTGTATACACAAGCACACGGTCTTCCCCTGGATGATGTTTTTAACACAAATAGTTGTATACAAAATAGAGGGCTTTGTACTTGTATTTTTCACATGGTAACTAATGTCTTGAAGACATAGTTCCTTATCGGCAATCAGAGAGCTTCCTTGTTTTTTTACTGCTTTGTGCTGTTTCTTTGATGGCTTGCGGTCTGTTAGTGGGGGTGCCTCTTGGGGACATGGAGTCTGCTGCCCGTCTTTTGCGATCACAGACACCTTGGCAGCTGACACCCCAGAGCCTGAGTGTTTTGCGCACTGGAGCGTGCCTGGGTGATGAGGTGGGGTGATGGAGTGGGGGTTTCCAGGAGGGACTGTCGACCACTTGACAACCAGCTCTCCAGTTTCTCCCCGGTCTCCCATAGCCCCCATGCCCATTCCTTCTCCCTCTTCCCTTTTGGTTTTGTGATTCTCTTTCTGTGTTTCTTGGCTGTGGCAGGATTTCAGAGCTTGCTCCTTGGGTCTCTGCGGTTGCCAGAACCTTTGCTCTGCAGACGTTCCCAGCGCACGGGCCAGCCCCAGCGGGGGATTGTATGTTGCTGAGAGGCGGTGGTGCTGTGGCCAGGATTCTGTGACTGGAGGGAGTGTGGCTTTCCACTGGCATCTCACGTGCCCCCGTTACACTGAGGCCCCAGGGTTGGAGACTGCCCTTGCTCTTTTGTATGCCGCCCACCACCCAGTTCTATGGCACCTGGCTCTGAACACAAGCTGGGCTGGCCCACCCCCGGGGTCAGCTCTTGGGGCTTCTGAGTCTCCTGAGCCTTGGCCTGCTCCTCTGAGTGATGGGGTGAGCAGTGCCCCTCCTTTATGGAGCTGTCGGAGGTATCGGAGGGCAGTGAGGGTGTCTGGTGTGTGTGGCCTGATGTGGACAGACAGGAGAGCCAGATACCCGCTTTTCTCCCAGAGTCGCGATTGTCTTGTTCCCTCAGCCCTACAGTGGAATTGCTGCAGGGCTCCTGGAAGCTCAGTCCCCTAAGATTTGAGCCAACCTGTTCTCTCTGACTTTCTTGGTTGTTGTTGAGTTCTTAATTTATGTGTTCCATCTGTTTGAAGTTAGAGGCCTGTTTTAGTTGCTTTCTTCTTCTTCTTCTTTTTTTTTTGTATTTTTGAGACAGGGTCTTGCTATGCAGTTCAGGCCGGCCTTGAGCTCACTTTGTAGCCCAGGCTGGTCTGGAACTCACAACAATTCTCCTGCCTCAGCCTCCTGAGTGCTGGGATTACAGGTGTGCGCCACCATGCCTGGTGTGGTTGCTTTCTTCTGTTAAAGGACTGGATGATGTAAATGTGGACTGATTGGGAGTCACTGTAGTTGGGATGAGAGGTGAGAGCTGTGTGCTGGGATAGCCTGGATGTGGCAGGGCTCCTCCCCAGGGAGAAACTAAGATTTTGGGGAGCCCTGGGGAGACTCACTGCCCCTGGTGGTGTGGGTCACATGTAGCCCTCACTGTCGCCTGCCTTTGCCATTGTGTGGGCCACATTCTTTTTATCTTTTCTTTTTTTTAGTTTTTTTTCCGGTACCGGGAATCGAACTCATGACCTTGCGCTTGCCAGGCAGGCGCTGTGCTGCTGAGCTAAATGTCCTGGTTTTTTGTTTTTTTTTTTGGGTTTAAAACTTACTCTTTTCTTTTTTCTTTTTTTTTTTGCAGTATTGGGGATCAAACTCATGACCTTGAGCTTGCCAGGCAGGTGCTTATGCCACTGAGCTATATCCCCAGCCCTGTGTGGGCCACATTCTTATTTGGGCTTAAGATTTTTCACCCTGGAACAGGGTCAGGAAATCAGCTACCTGCTGGGTGACTTGGGGTTGGTCCTGTTGTTGCTGATGCTGACTTTAGTTTTCTCCTCTCTCCGGTGGGGCCAGGGTGGTCTGGGGATGGGATGGGCTTCTGAGGTATCTAGGTTCTCAGAAAAGGTGGTTGTTCTTGATGATGAGACTTGTCCTCTTGTGGGCACTGGTGGCTCAGGGTTGTGCCACTGTGTATCTAGCCTGTCTCTCTTGAAATCATGGGTGCAGATGGATATTGGCCGCTATTCCTTTAGGAACTGAGAGGAGCAGAATGACATGAGGTCTCTGAAAGCATCAAGCATGGTGATTCTCACACTGGGTTCCTTGGGGCCCAGGGTCTGTTGAGATGTCTGGAGTTCCCACAGTGGGCCCGGCTAGCTTGGGGCCTCGGTCCTGTAGCATACGGTGACTCCTCCGTGCAGTTACACTGAGTGCCCGGATATGGGAAGTGGTGGGTGACACCTCAGCCTCGAGGGTGATGTGTGGTGTCTGCTCAGGCTGCCTAGAGGTTTCCTTTGTGCCTGTCTCCTCCCTGAAGCCATAAGCCCCTCAGGGTCCCAAATTGCCTGGGACATTTGTTGTACCCTCGGCTTGCTAAGCCAGGCCAGGCCAGGCCAGACCTTTCTGTATGTACATTGTCAGTTACCAGCAATGGTTTAGGAGGATCTGTATGCTGGGTGGGCACACAGTTTTGAATTTGACCTGGTACCTGCTCCAAGGAGCTGGTCCCACCCTTCTCTGAGCATCTGCCAGAGGTCTTTCTTCTCAGCAAAATGTACACAGCATAGCCGGGCATGTATCTGTAATCCCAGTCCTCTAGGAGGCTGAGGCAGTAGGATCATAAGTTTGAGTACAACCTGGGCAATTTAGTGACTTAGTGAGATCCTGTCTCAGAATTTAAAAAAAACAGAAAAGGACTGGGAATATAATTTAGTGTGAAGGCCCTAGGCTCAAACCCCAGTACTGCAGATGCACGTGCACACACATGTACACACACACACACACACACACACACACATGCATCATGCTGTCTCTGTCTCTGCCTTTACCCCAGCATGCTTCCTGGGTGGCAGCAGTGCATACTCTGGAACAAAGGGAGTGGGAGCTGGCGTTTTCCGGGAGTGTTGTGTGAGGGGATGGGGAAGGTGCTGTGGGCCAGGGAAGGCTTCCTGGGAGACTCCACCAGCTCCCAGTCCTAAGGACTGGGGCACAAATGAGACATCGTGAGTGGAGATGGGCCCTGGCTGAAGCTTGTAGTAGGAGATGCGGGGTGGGGAGATGACATGGTTGGCCATCAGGGGCCTTTGTGTGCCCTGGGCAGATCTACCCCAAGGTCTTAAATCAGGTGGGGGTGAGTTAGGTACAAGCATGGACCATTAGTGGTCGTGTGGCTGTGTATGGGAGGGGAAATAGGTGGAGGATATGAGGTTCGGGTCAGTCAGGTTGTGGGTGTAGCAGGGGCTAAGGGATGGGCAGGGAGTCAGTGGGGACCAAAGATGGCCAGGATGGAGAGCCAGCTGGTGCAGGACTGGCAAGAAGCCGTGGCTTCCTGCAGGTCAGAGTAGATGGGCCGGGCCGTGGCATCCACCTGAGGTGGTGAGACTTGGGGAGCCGTGGGCAGTGGTTGAGCTGAGCAAGGATGCAGGCCCTGGTGGTGCATTTGTGGTGGGGAGAGTGTCGGGCAGTCTGGGGCCCACCAGGAAGGCCTGGCCCCAGGTCCCAGGGAGATGACTGCTGACCGTGTCATAGGACTGATGCCATGTCCTTTGGTTCCCAACCCTCTTTTAAACTATGGGTGGTTGTGGGGGCGCCTGGGAGCTCGGAAACTTGGTTTTCAAAGACAAGGCCACTGAGGGGACGGTGTGAGAGCCCGACTGCTGGGCTCTCCCAGCTTCCTGCCCCATCCTGTGTCAGCTGTAGTGAGCATTTTGGAAAGCATGCTTCCTGCCTGCTGGAGTAACGCTTGTTTTCTTTGTTTTTTCTCTACAGGAAACGAGGCATAGAGGTTGTGCAGGTGAGTACAGACTATGTTTCAACTATTTTCCAAGTAGAGGGTGCCAGCTTGCCCATCTCCTTGAGCATCTGGGTGCTTGACCTTCTCTTTCTGTGCGTCTGGTTTGTGACTTTCCTTGAGGAGCTGATGCCGTTCCTGTCCCAGGTTGGGCACGGACTCAGGCTGCTGGGTGCTCGGATGTGGAGATTTATGGTGGCTTTGTTAGAGAAGGAGGCTGGAGGGGACTGGTTTGGGAGTGGAGGGGGCATGGTAATGCTTGGGTTCCGAAGAGTGAAGGGGCAGTGGGCACTCCAAAAGGTTTCCTGTCATTCTGTCCCCTGGACAGACTTGGGTCAGGGGTGCATTGGCTGGAGAAGGACAGGAAGCTGGATAGAAGGGGCAGAGAGGGTGGAGAGGGAGGAAGGGAGGGAGAAGACATGCTGATGATAGAAAAGGAAGGCTGGGTGGATGGAAGGATAAAGGATGGATGGAAGGAGAGGAAGGAAGGATAGACTGATGGGTAGGTGGAGAGACAGGGAAGGAAGAATGGATGGAGGAAGAGAGAAGGATGGGATGGGTGGATGGGATGGATGGACAGAGGGAGGGAGAAGGAAGGATGGGTGGAGGAGGATGGATGGATAAGGGAGAAGGATAGATGGAGGAAGGAAGGAGGGGATGGATGGAGGAAAGAAAAGGGAAGGAAGGAGAGATGGAGAAAGAACCTCCCAGGGCGTGAGGCTGGGCGCTGGCCCTGAAGTAGCTACCCAGACGAGCAGCCATCTCAGGAGAGCCAGGAGGTTTGGCCTCTCAGAGAGGAGCTGGTGAGGGGGCTCCTGGGAGTCCTCTGCCGGCATGTTTGCCTCCGTGCTTACGGCGGTAACAGGTGGGAATGGGGAACAGTTTTCTCCATGAGTACACTGAGACCCCCAAGGGCCAGGCTGTGGCGTGTCCACCAACGCTGGCCTGGCACCTCGTGGTATGCAGTGAGTCCCCCGGGCTGTTGCCCTCGCTGTCCCTTCCAGAGTGCCTCTGCCTGCAGCTGCTGGGGACCAGGTCAGGGCTACCGAGGAGCCTCTGGCAGGCACCTGTAGGTGGTTTCCTGAAAGCCTGCTGTGGTGCTCTGAGCCTCCTTTGCTCCTGGCACCAGAGTGTGGTGGGGCGGTACCTCCTTCCAGCAGTCTGGGGAGGTGTTGCAGGACTCTGCCTTTTGGCCTCTTGCTGGTGGTGTGAGGGTTGAACTTGTCACCAGGGGTTGAGGTTTCTTTTGGGGTGGGGAGGTTTGTGGAAGCCTCTCATCACCTGTTCTTGTCCCGGGTCGTCTTGGCTCTGTAGAGTCGCATGATCTGCACTGACATTTCCTGTGGACCTTGATCTCTCCATGCATCCAGTGGGGACAGCTGGGGTTGAGGAATGGCAGAGAAGGCTGCTTTCAGGGCACTCCCGCGCAAGTTGATCCTGGCTATCTGGGAGTTTCTGTGACTGAATGAGAATCAGGGCTGCCAGGGGCCTAGGGGTGCACGCTCATTGTGGGGTTGGTGATCTCAGGCCATTTCCACTGCAGGATGCTGGGGCTTCAGCCCGTTTTGATGGTTGCCTTGGAAATCCCCATTCTCTGCAGAAGCCCCCAACCCACCAGCAAGCCCTCAGCTGGGAGCTGATGCTCGCCCTGTGTGGGGAGATCCCAGCTTCTCTGCAGTTCACTGCAGCCACTGGGGAGGGTCTCCAGGAATTGCTCCCGCGATTTGTTTCTGAGGAAGTGAGTTCCTTGGAGTACAGCAAACACCCTGCATGACTGGCAAAGAGGCGTCCTTCCCTCAACCTAATCCCAAACCCCAACACAGAGGGGCATCACCCTACCCCTGCCCCGGAGGTTGCTAGAGGCAGCCAGGGGGTCGAAAGCTTGGTTCGCTCCACTTCTCAGAGAGACCGAGACCAGACCTTTCATACACTCAGTCGGGTGGAGCAGGGGACAGGAGCCCTTGTTTTAGAGAGTGCCGGGCAGAACGACTCAGAAATCTTTCGAGCTGTGTCCGCTGTTCATTTTGATGATGCCTTGGGCGCAGAAGTGGTGGCTGGGGACCAGGGTGGTGCCAGACTGGCTGCTTTCCATCCCAGTGTCTAAAAATACAGCCCATGATGGTGCCTCCCCGTGCACCTCCTCCTGGCATCCCTGAGTCTTTGGAGAACTTCTACATTTTAAGACATGGTAAAAGGCTCTTTGTGAAAATTGGAAGCCAAACCACTTGGCTGCTTTTTCGAAATCAGCTGAGCTCTGTGTGCCAGATCCCAGGCTGTGCACCCTGGAAGCTGGAGGTGGATGCTTTGCCAGTCCCTGGGTTCAGACATAAATGACGGTGATGGTGAGGGAGAGCTGACCCCACACCTGCTGGTCCCATCCTCCGGCCCATTCTGACAGCTCCCTGCGGATGTGGGTGGAGACGAGTTCCTCCTACAGATAGGAGAGGGGCTCAGGATGGTGTGACCAGGCTGGCTGGTCAGTGGTAGAGTTGAGGTTTGAATGAGGGTCTGTCTGTCTGCTGTGTGGGTCTCCACTGCATGTGAGCAGGTTGCTCTATTTGCTGTGTGCTGCCCTGCCTAGGGTTGCTGGCTTTTAGCTACTGATTAAAAGGATATTGTGGCCTGGGCTTAGAACCCCAGGCCGTGAAAGCCTGGTAAGATCCTGTTGTGTTTGTCCAGGTCATGGGAATCATTTTCCTTCTTGCTGTGTGATGGCAACAGTCCCAGTGTTAACATTTATGGCGACTGCTGTGTGCCTGGACCAGGCATTGACACCATTTTTTTGTAGAGGAGCATTTGTGTGTAACCTTTTCCAGGTGGACACGGGAAATATATTTAAGGAAGTGAATTTAGCAAGTCCTCAACTTCCTCACGCGTCCATCTCTCCCCACAGCTGGTGTGCTGGGAAGGACCTTGTAAACTGTCCTTCCTTGTCCCCCCAGCTGGCCCTTCCATGTTTTTCCTCTGTGTGGACAGTGTGCATAGTGGTAAGAAGCCTGGGTTCAGGTCCCTGGTTGTGTGATGACCTGCCAGCTTATGCCTAAGCACTTTGCATATCAGTCTGCCTACCTGTAAAATGGGCATAATCATAGCAGCTGTTCCCTTGGGATCACTGTGAAGCCTGAGTTAATTCAGTGTTATGGTTTGCCTCTGGGTGTCCCTCCCAAAGCCTCATGCGATCATGGGGCAGGCTTTTAGAATTTGATTGATTATGGGTGTGAGAGCTACACCCACCCTGGGGTGGATAGTTTGCATATGTGAGGGAGAGGAAGAGGCTGCTCACGACCATTCCTCCCTTGTGTGCTTGTTGTTTTTGCTGTGTTCTGCCGCCATGAGCCGTAGCCCTCTGCCGTGTGCCACTCTGCCTTGTAACCTGCCAAGTATGGCCTAAAACCTCCACAAACTGGAAGCAAAATAAACCTTTCCTTCTTTAATTTTGGGCGTCAGGTATTTTGTCCCAGCAATGAGAGAAAAGTAACCAAGACATTCAGGTAATGGAGTTGGCCCAGGCCTGGTGCATGGAGGCTGGTGAGCTGCAGAACCATACTGTATCAGTGTCCACAGGAGACCTGAACCTCCGTGTGGGACCACAGGCCACGAGGCCCCCCAGGTGTTTAGGGAACACCTAAACACTGGTAATCCTAGTGTTCTAGGTCCTAGTAATCCTGAGTTGGGATGCTATTTCCTCTTCTGTGCTTGCAACAAAACAAAGATGAGCTGATCAAGTTGTCAACTGATGTCACATTAAAATGATTCTTGAGGGTTGGAGTGTAGCTCAGTAGTACAGCACTTACCTACCATGCATAGGCCCTAGCTGATCACCAGCACTGCAGAAGAAAAAAAGATCTTTTCTAAGAGATTACTGTAATTCCTTGCATATAATTCCAAAGGAATCCAAAGAATTTGCTGTGGCAAATCTTTTCCCATTCCATCTTTGTATTTTTTTTTTTAAGTAGGTACTTTTAACACTATCTATAAAAACTGAAAAATGAAGGTAGAACTGATAAATCTTGTCTTATTCTAGCAATAGGTAAATATTCATGTATGGATATGTGAATTAACTTCTAAGAAAGTCTCACTCTTTGTACAATAGAGTTGTATTTCTAATAAAGTTTAATTTTTTTATGCTTATAATTTGTACAGTTTTGGATGTTTCTGTCTTATTGATAAATTGTGTACTAAAATAGTAATTGTAATAATAATTCAGAAGAAAATTTCGACTTAAAGGGCTTCAGGTCATAGGGAAAAATTTTAGACAGGAACATTTTTGTATCTGTATCTATTTATCCACATATTTGGCCCAGTAGTAAAATAGAAGAATCAATAAAAGGGTTTTCAACATGAAACACACTGTAGTAATATAAACATGTCTGAAGAAAATGGATTGGAAATTAGAATCCAGAGAAGAAAAGGAACACTGTTAGATTTCCAGCTGTCAAAGAAGAGCTTGGTTATATAACTTTGAAATGGATGATGGTGGATCTCACATCACTATAGTATTTAGATTCCATTGGATGCATTTAAAAGGGAAATAGTAACAGTTTTATTTAAAAATGTTAATATTTATAGTATGTTGGAAATTACATCCTCTGCAAGTATTTAAACTTATGAGGAGAAATTTTAGATGTTAAAAATGTGCAAATAGATGCACTGTTTTAAGCGTTTATTTTGGGAGGTTGGTTTGAAGGCAGTTTGCTTCTCGGAACCAGGTACCACTTCAGAGAGGGACAGCAGTGGGCCTGGCTCTCAGGTCACCTGGGGCTGGGCCAGGCCTGTGCATTCCTGAGACCCAGAGAAGCCTGCTGGGCTTTCCTCAGAGCGACTTGTCTGCAGGCATTTGTACTGTCCTCCCCTCACCTGGACGGTTGGGTCATGCGAAGTTGGTGGCGATAAAAGATGTGTGGATGCATTCGTGGAAGGAGAGGCACAGGTGAGCCAGACCCAGGGTGCTCAGGAGCAGGAGAAAAGCCTGCTCTGTATGTGGTGCTGGGGCCTGGGCTGCA